TAGCCAAAACGGCGTAGACGGCGCAAGCGAACTGCGGACGCTCTTGACGGCGAGATAAATATACTGTCGTCCCCGGCTTGTCCGAGCCTCTTCTCTCATCAGCCCACAGAACAGCCCTGCAATCAATCCCATCTCTATATCTCTCCAACCTCCCACCCGTCTGTGATAGCCTTTCCCTTCTGCCAGACAGACAACTCCTCCTTCTCCTCCTCCTACTCCTCCTACTCCTACTCCTACTCCTACTCCTCCTACTCCTACTCCTCCTACTCCTACTCCTACTCCTACTCCTCCTACTCCTCTGCCTTGCTCCTCCCACCATGCATCGACACGCAACCTACCAGTATGCCTCTGCTGCACCCACCGCCACACGATATTCGGGCACTTCCTCAGCCTTCTCCGCCTCAGCCAACCCCAATGAAGACTGGACCAAGATCTCAGATCTAGCTGAGCGTCGTCGGATACAGAACCGTATCGCCCAGCGCAACTACCGCAAGAAGCTCAAGAAGAGGCTCGAAGACTTGGTAAGTTCCTCCCCATCTTGCTGTCCCCCGTCTCTGCTTGAGTGCCATGTGCTCATCGTCTTCTAGGAGCGTCGTGCTGCCTCGAGCTCAGCTTCACCTGAACAGAAGCCTGCCGAGCTACAGATGCCACAAAGGTCGCCGCGCCAGGAATTTCCATCTCCATCCTCCTCTGACTCCTCCTACACCACCCCACCTGCCGAGGACCGCATGTTCTCTCACCAGTACACACGCCAGCTCTCCACAAGCCCACCACCCTTCTCCGTTGCCTCGTACTCATCAACCTACCCAGCTCCAGAGACAGTGGCCTATTCCATGCCCTACTCGAGCCCGTCCTACCACCCGATGCCAACCGCCATCAGCTCGGAGATGCCAACGTACGCCTACCTTCCGCCACTCTCCTCAACCTACCCCACCACCTTGCCGAGCCTTGTGCCGAGCATGCACGTCAAAAGCGAGTACTACGCCGAGGAGGATCTCAGCCCATTCGGTGTTGGCTACGCTGCCATTGGCGGGATTGAAATGCCTCAAGCCCACTCCTACTCCCAATCAACTGTAAGGCTCCCATCTCGCCAGCCCTACTACGCTTAGGCATCCATCTCTTGCAATTGCCCCCACGCCGTCGACAATCAACTCGCTGACAGCTCCTGGTAGACGCCACCACTTGAGCCTTCAGACTTGAGTTACCCGGCCAGTCCGCCCCACTCCATGCCACGGACACCTCCTCTTTCTCTTCATCCTCTTTCTCTTCATCCTCTTTCTCTTCATCCTCTTTCTCTTCATCCTCTTTACTCCATGTAAGGACCTTTGGTGATCACCACCTATGCATTCACTTCTCTTCGAGACACTGTCTCTATCTTATGTGTTATACGTTTTTTTGTACTGCATTTCAGCGATCGGTCGTTTTGGACAAAAGGGTCCCTCGCTTGACCTTTGAAGGATTGGGTGTTTGGCGTATCTACTACCGCTTTGTAGACTGCTTGGCAACCATTAGAGATATATCCAGGATTAGCAGGCTCACAGGCCTAGAGTGAAACACAATCTCAGTGCCAGTGCAAGCCTGAGATATGTCATGTATCAACGAAATACTTTATCACAATCTCGAGACTCCCAATACGATACGTGAAGCGTTCAAAAGTGAATTACATTGCGCACTGTTACACCAACGGCTGGATGCATCTTGGCTGTGGAACAGCTTGGTCATTGTTGCGATAGTAATAATGGATGGAGGTGGTGGAGGGGAAAACCCAATCTAATCTGCGGTGAGATCATCGCGCTTTCCGCAACGGCAACGCCAAGCCTGTCGCGTCGCGTCTCACCGTGCGTGCATGCCTGTCAGCATTCCGATTTGCGGACAACACCACTGCCACCACCACTACACATTCATGGCACCTGTACGCTCGCGACTGAACAAAGCACGGCAGTTCCTCACTGGTGGTGCAGTGTTCCGCGAGGATTCAGACGACGAACTCGGCTACGATGACCATCCATGGGAGTGGATCTACAGCAACACCAGCACAGAGGATGCAAACACTGACAAAGATGCAACACCAAAGAAACGAAAAGCGGCGCCGACGTCGCTAGGGAATCGAATTGTTGGTGCGCGCATGGGGAATTTCAAATGTAAAGTAGGAGATGCCGTACTCCTGAAGGCCGAGGGCAACCAAGCCTGGGTAGGCATCATCTGCGACTTCCATGAAGACTTGGAAGACGGAGAGAAGATGGCCAAATTTTTATGGTTCTCCTCAGAGAAAGAGATTCGCAACCAAAGCAAAAAGCGCACCGATTTTCTTCCTGTCAGTCATCCAACCCATTCTTTGCCCATAACAGGGATGCTGACGATTCGCAGAATGAGCTATATATCTCGGCAACTTTTGATGATAACCCCTTAGAATCGATCAATGGAACAGCCAGAGTTTTGTCCCTGGAGCAATTCCAGAGGCTCTATCCTGCAGGTGTTAAGAAATCGTCCAAGGACTTTGGCAAAGTCTTCGTTTGTAGGAGAGGGTGCAATACTCGCACGACTACGTACACACCCGAATTCGTCTGGGAAGACATTTATAAAGGTGCCGAGGATATCGACAGCTTGGTGGAACTCGTGCAAAGCCAGACGAAAGCAACTCGAAGGGGCGTCGGGCGACCCAAGAAGCCAACACAACGAGACTTGGATGAGTTTGTCGCCCCAGACTCTGACGACGATGGCGCTCCCAAAACTCCACGGAAGCGCCGCAAACTCGACGAGGCCACCACACCCATGTCAAATAAGAAAACTCCTACCTCTCGCAAGTTTCTCACACCAACGCACAAACGTATAGTACTCAAGAAGCAACTTGAATTTACACCATTGGGAACACGCGTGCTTTCTCCTTCGGCTATGAATTCACCTTTTCAGCAAGCACGGAGCCAACTCCATGTGTCTTCGGTGCCCGCGGCACTCCCCTGTCGTGAAGAAGAGTTCTCTACGGTCTATAGCCATTTGGAAGCTGCCATCACAGATGGGTCAGGATCATGCATATACATTTCGGGTACTCCAGGGACAGGCAAGACTGCAACCGTTCGAGAAGTCGTGGCGCAGCTTCATGCCTCAGTCCAAGCCGAGGAGCTGGATGATTTCATATTTGTCGAAATCAATGGCATGAAGGTCACCGATCCACATCAATCCTACTCTCTGTTGTGGCAAGCGCTACGCGGAGACAGAGTAAGCCCATCTCACGCGCTTGAACTACTGGAGAGGGAGTTTTCTACCCCAAGTCCACGTCGCGTCCCTTGCGTTGTCTTGATGGACGAGCTCGATCAACTCGTCACAAAGAACCAATCAGTCATGTACAACTTCTTTAATTGGCCTGGGCTTCGGCACAGCAGGTTGATTGTGTTGGCCGTCGCAAATACTATGGATCTTCCCGAGCGCACATTAAGCAACAAGATTAGCAGTCGATTAGGTCCGTATTCGCATTTCTTATCCCCTATCTCATTCGATCGTCCCTCGCACCTGCAACACCATTTGTAGTACCGCTTGATGTACATCTGCCGAAGTCGCTGGATGCACGGACGCTTCTCTCAACGCCTTTTCGTTTCAGAGACCCACCTTTACCGGGTTCTCCGGATACTTCCTCAGCAAGGCTAACAGTTATGCATAGGTCTGACACGTATAACCTTCCCTGGTTATACTTACGACCAGTTGATGCAGATCATCCAGTCCAGGCTAGAAGGCGTACCAGGCAGCCTTGTGAAGACGGATGCTGTGCAATTTGCTGCGCGCAAAGTCGCAGCTGTCAGTGGAGATGCGCGACGTGCTTTGGACATTTGTCGGCGGGCCGTAGAAATTGCGGAGATGGAGCACGCATCACAAGACCACGACAACGAGGCGCAGCCTACAACACCGAGTAGAACCGATCGGGGAGAAAAGACAAAACTACTGCAAACCTCTCGGCCGATCAAATCTACCGTAGAAGACGACGCCGTTGCAATTAAACGGGCGGGACCGACTACGGGCCGAAAGGGACTTGTTACGATCACGACGATCAAACAGGCGATCAATGAGGCCACGAGCAGCCCCCTGCAGCAGACACTACGGGCTCTTCCGTTGGTAAGTAAGGTGTTCCTTGCAGCGCTCTTGGCACGGATCCGTCGGACAGGCATCGGTGAAGCGGTGCTTGGCGATGTGGTGGACGAAGTGAAAAGACTAGGCCTGATGAGCCAGCTACAGCCTATTCATGAATACCTACTTGCCCCTGAAGGGGAATATGGCGGAAAACTAGGCACGATTGGGACTACGATGCAGCCATCGACACCTTCCAAACATAGAGATGGCCAGGGCATAGGGCCAAAGTCATCAGACCTCAAAGCAGCACGAGCTCTCGGTCTCGCACTTGCAGCTACTGAACTTGCAGAAGCCGGCATCGTGGGCGTCGAGGCCCGACATGGCGAGCGCGTTGGCCGCGTACGGCTAGGTGTTGGAGAGGACGAAGTGCGACTTGCACTAGGGGAGGACGAGTCGGTCCATGGACTCGGATTCGGCTCATGAATTGATTGATCTATTAGTTAGCAGCAACACCAACAACAACCAATGCCCCACTCGACTTTTTTTTGTCCCGCATCAAAGAGCGTCGCGTAGTAGTTAGTATATACAAGCAAAGTAATTAGAAGTTTTACAATAAAATAAAAATTACCAAGAGAAACTACAACTTTGTAGGAGCGGCATTTTTTTAACCTGGATAGAGTCAAGCGAAGTGTTTTGGTGTTGTTTCTGGGTATTGGCAACCTGTTTTCTGAAACTTCTAGTCCAACAGCATGCTTGCATATATTTGCGGACCCCTCCCACCCCTTCCTCTATTCAACGGTTTCCGATATACACATGATATCAAGTCCACGTTATATATATATATATCCCCACACACACGTACATGCACAACCGACAACCCCACGCGTTTGTCCCGGGCATTCTTGCCTGCAACCTCATATATCCATACGCGCGCTCAATCTACCCATTCCGCTTGCATCAATTACCGAGGGCCGCAGATGTGTGCGCACCCGTGTAGGAGAGAAGAGATTTCCGGCTTGCGACGCGGCACGGCTGTGTGGTGGATGGGTGCCAGGGAGGAGGCGTGGGCGGGCGCGAGGTAGAGTAGATAGATGGCCTATGTTTAGTCCGTTTGACTTTGTCGTCCCGTCTCTCTCTGCCTGTCCTCTTTTTCATTTTATCCTCGGTCTCGGGTCGGGAGGGGCTGGTGGGGAGGGCGGATGAGGAGGGATGAGATGCTGTTTAGGGATGGTATTATGGGTACTGGGAGATGTTGGTTGTTGGGTTTAGATTGTAAGTATCTATATCGTATGTCATGGGTATGTGTAGAAGCGAGGCGGAATTTCCTAGACGGCAGAGGGGGGTTTTTTTTGGGGGGGGGGGGGGGCCGGGGGGGCTTTTCCCATAAAACAAGAAATGGTGTTAACTCCCCC